GAGTACAGACACACGTGCATGCACGCACACACACGTACACAGCGGCCTTCCAGACCACCGCAGAGACTTAAGGGCCCACCAACCGTAGCCTCTAGTACTGAGCACTGAGCATCCTCTAGTACTGAGAACTGCGTGTCCACTGTACCTGGAACGGCCTCTGGTACTGAGAACTGAGTGTCCACCGTACCTGGAGCGGCCTCTAGTACTGAGAACTGAGTGTCCACCACACCTGGGCAGCCTCTAGTACTGAGAACTGCGTGTCCACTGTACCTGGAACGGCCTCTGGTACTGAGAACTGAGTGTCCACCGTACCTGGAGCGGCCTCTAGTACTGAGAACTGAGTGTCCACCACACCTGGGCAGCCTCTAGTACTGAGAACTGCGTGTCCACTGTACCTGGAACGGCCTCTGGTACTGAGAACTGAGTGTCCACCGTACCTGGAGCGGCCTCTAGTACTGAGAACTGAGTGTCCACCACACCTGGGCAGCCTCTAGTACTGAGAACTGCGTGTCCACTGTACCTGGAACGGCCTCTGGTACTGAGAACTGAGTGTCCACCGTACCTGGAGCGGCCTCTAGTACTGAGAACTGAGTGTCCACCACACCTGGGCAGCCTCTAGTACTGAGAACTGCGTGTCCACTGTACCTGGAACGGCCTCTGGTACTGAGAACTGAGTGTCCACCGTACCTGGAGCGGCCTCTAGTACTGAGAACTGAGTGTCCACCACACCTGGGCAGCCTCTAGTACTGAGAACTGCGTGTCCACTGTACCTGGAACGGCCTCTGGTACTGAGAACTGAGTGTCCACCGTACCTGGAGCGGCCTCTAGTACTGAGAACTGAGTGTCCACCACACCTGGGCAGCCTCTAGTACTGAGAACTGCGTGTCCACTGTACCTGGAACGGCCTCTGGTACTGAGAACTGAGTGTCCACCGTACCTGGAGCGGCCTCTAGTACTGAGAACTGAGTGTCCACCACACCTGGGCAGCCTCTAGTACTGAGAACTGCGTGTCCACTGTACCTGGAACGGCCTCTGGTACTGAGAACTGAGTGTCCACCGTACCTGGAGCGGCCTCTAGTACTGAGAACTGAGTGTCCACCACACCTGGGCAGCCTCTAGTACTGAGAACTGCGTGTCCACTGTACCTGGAACGGCCTCTGGTACTGAGAACTGAGTGTCCACCGTACCTGGAGCGGCCTCTAGTACTGAGAACTGAGTGTCCACCACACCTGGGCAGCCTCTAGTACTGAGAACTGCGTGTCCACTGTACCTGGAACGGCCTCTGGTACTGAGAACTGAGTGTCCACCGTACCTGGAGCGGCCTCTAGTACTGAGAACTGAGTGTCCACCACACCTGGGCAGCCTCTAGTACTGAGAACTGCGTGTCCACTGTACCTGGAACGGCCTCTGGTACTGAGAACTGAGTGTCCACCGTACCTGGAGCGGCCTCTAGTACTGAGAACTGAGTGTCCACCACACCTGGGCAGCCTCTAGTACTGAGCACTGAGTGTCCACCATACCTGGGCAGCCTCTAGTACTGAGCACTGAGCGTCCATCGTACGGGAGGGGGCAGGAGGAGCAGGCACTTCCCCAAACACCCGATGAGATGGTCACCATTGTCCCCATCGCACAGATGAGAAGCTGACAGTCAAGGCCCCAGAGGAGAAGCCCTTCTTTCCCCCTCAGCCTCTCCCAGAGAGGCTGCTTTGAGTCATGTGGATCTGATCAGCAGGTAATTGCTCCTCTCTGGATCTTTCGCCATGTAAATAGGTGCAGGCTGGTGGGGGTCGGGGGTGGGGACGGGGCAGGCAGGTGTGGGTAAGAAGGGTGAGCATGGGGGGATGTCTCGGCTCCCGGCGGTCCTGGCTTTCG